CCACCTTTGGTGGGAAGGTAACAGCATTCTGTGCATCTTTGGCATTTAGTCATTCTGGCCACATGACCACAGAGACATCTTCAGCCAGTGCTGGCTCTTCAGCTTTGAAATGAAGATGAGTACCGCCCCCTAGAGTCAGGAATGACTAGCACATATGTTTGAGGGGAACCTTTTCACCTGAACATTTGTTAATGGTGCCCAAATGACTCTACCTTCTTTCTGCTTCTAGCTTTTACATCTTTCACCACTTCAAAAGAAGGCAGAAAAGGGTAAGAGAAGGGCATTTTCCCCCCTTTTGCCTTCAGTTTTGAGAAGTCTGCTTTTTTTTTTTCATTGCTGTATACATAATACTTTCCTCAGGGTAGCTGGGACATTTTTTCTCCTGGGAAACTCAGTTATATTACGACCATAATTTAATTTGCTTTTATTGAATCCACCACTTTTATCTGTTCTTCCACATCATAACAAGTGGTTTACAATAACTTAACAAAAATCATCTGGACAGAACAATGATACAAAGGCTATTTCCCAAATATATTTTCCCTGTTCATCTGCTTTGGCCTCATGGATCAACCATAGTCTTTCAGAAATTTCTTGTAGAATCCCAGAGTTTTTCAGAACATTTTGATAATTAAGATACAAACTGCAAGTCTCTGAGTTAAATTAGAAAAGAAACTAGATGCAGCTACCTTCGTAATCCTCTTAGTTGAAAAAGACGCTTAGTTGTATGTAATTATTTTTTTACAGAATTAATACACAAAGTCATACTCTCAAGTTGTGTGTATACATACATACATGCATGCGTGCATATACATGCATACAAACTGCAGGTTACTGATTTCTATTCCTGTGGCCTCAAATTGTATCTATGTTACAATCTCTCCTTTATTGTTGAAGTTTTGGCAGACTTGATCCTGAACCTTGATTGTATGGATTATTATCATCTGATTGTTCTATTAATGTTTGGTTTTTAATCATTTATGTCCTTCACATTGTCATGTGATCATATTAAATTTCTAAATAAATAACATACTTAATTTTTTTGTCACAGGAGGTTCTAGTTGCTTATTTAACAACTGGTTATGTGTTTTTTTTCTTCATTTACAGTTCTGCCTTCAACATTGTGATGCTTTGTGCGGAGCAAAAGTTAATGTGGAAAGTAGTGTTAAATGTACTTTATTTTTAATTCCCTAATTCAGTTTATATCCATCTTTTTATTAAACTGGTCAAGGCTGTTTCCCTGGGCTTTCCTATATTCCTAAATTAGTTTGGCAACATTTGTTTATTTGTTTTTAGTTAACTCAAGAGGTTTCTAACTTCCAGTGTACATGGCCGCAAGCACATTATGACCATTAGACTTCTAATGCACTTTTTAAAGTGAAATTTATATGCTAACATATATATATATATATATTTTTACTCCAAACCATCAACCAGTTGGCATTTGGGGTTTGCAGTAATAAAACAAAAACTTAAGAGCTTCCAGGGATAATTTGCACTCACTGTATCCAAGATAACAGTGGACTGTGCAAGATGGTTCAGATTATAGATTAAACTGATGGATGAATCTTGCTGCAGATGGAATGAGGTTTATATCATTTTTCCCAGAGGAAAGGAAATGTTTGCCCCAATGTATGCATACAGAAAAATATCTGTTGGCAAACTTTAACTTTTCTTTCATAGGTTGCAATCCTTGAGGAAATGAATTGACACATAATAGATGCTTTGTTTGCCTTATGTGAGTTGAAGAAAGACAGAAAAACCATTCCATTAATGCATTTGCTTCTAAGCGGGGCTGGGGAATATGTGTCTGCCGTATCTTGTTAAACTACAACTCCCACCAGGATTTCCAATAGCGAGCAATGAAGTGATCTGTAGTTCAGTGACGTCTTAATAGTCAGAGGTTCCATCCCTTATTGTAGAGGCACGTTAAAGAAAGTAAAAAATAAAGCATTTTACTGCTCCTTGATCGTCTCCAAATGTTGCTTGAGATGGAGGGAGTTCATTAAGCAAAACCCAATGGCACTGAGACTGTTGCAGATTACTGCTTCAAAGCACAGTTCGTCTTTTGTTTAGTCCTGTGTCGTTTTGTTTCCTCGCCGTAAGACGGATCGAATAACAATGGTTTTGAACTTCAGTGCTGTTATGCACAGGTATTTCTGTCTGGCAATTGGTGGCTGATTGAATCCAATGTCAAATACTTCTAAAGACTGAAAGAAGCGTGATTGATTTTGATCATTAAGCTCTGTGAAGGGGGTACTATTAATTTAGCTGGTGAAAATGTTAAGCACTGGTTGTGACATGTTAGGTTAAAGAGCTACCCGTGATATAAAGCCCTCTTTTCTTTTCTTGGTCCTTGGTTCTGAGTTCCTTCGGGGCTGCACCGTCATAAATAAATCAAGTGTGTTTTGGGCACAGTTAGCAGCCTCTGTTTAGCAAAGGGACATGACTAAAAGGACACCAATGCTTAATCATCCTTGATGGGGAAAAGGAGAAAGGGGAGGGAGGCACCACCTCACCCTCCATACCAAAAAGAGGGGTCATTCATAGGATTATAGAATGCAACTTTCTCTACACCTAAGTGCATTTAGAGCTAACCTAGGAATAAAGTAATACCGTCTGATTTCTAGTCCAGAACAATAACAATCTCCTTTTAAAATTCCAGGGCAAATTGCCTAGTGGTTCGTGTTTCTTTTATGTCCAGTTAATAATATTAAATAACAATATTGCTGTTACAGAAGACCCTGATCCTCGTAACATTAATTCAGGTCATTGTGTTTTTCAGACAGCTACAATTGTATGCAAGATTGTCTCAGGACTTTCTCCTGCATTTGGTATGTTTTGTGGTGGGTGTTAGCTGGATCGGATGGAGTTGCTAGTGTTGCTGGCACTGGAGGGATTTTGGTTATGCCTATAAAGCAGAGTTCTCAACTTTACAGCTTTAAGAGGTGTGGACTTCCAACTCCCAGAATTCCCCAGCTGACTACACAACTTAAAGTTGCCAAGATTGGGAAGCACTGCTCTAAATGAAAGATTTGTGTTCTAAGTTGCTTCGAATTCTTTTGTGAAACAGTACAGGCTATAACTTTCAGGCTGTGCAGCTTTCAGAATGAAGTAGTATGCTTTATTACACTAAGGAAAATAGTCTTAAAACTGTGGGACTTTTGCCTTTATTCTCTAGGGTCCTTTGTTTTATGTACAGTTTTTAGATTTTAATTGTTCAAAGGTTCCTTTGCTGTGATTTTAATATTGTCCACAATTATGGGTTTTATACTGTGCTTTGTAGTTTGAAGAGAATGTTTTATTTTGTATTGTTAGCTACATACCATAAGCTGGATTTATTGATAGAAAGCAGGTTACAAATGTGATCTATACATAATTAGAATGGAAGAACTGTTCCATTGATGGAGGATTATGTTGATGGCATAACATAATCACTATGGAGGCCTGATTCCTTTGGTAGAAAGTTTGAGGGCTAGAAATTTACCATTAACATTAGACCCCTGGATCCAAAGCTTCTTTGCATTTCTACCAACCTTCCTTTGGAACAAACTCCTGGGGTAGAATAAAAGAAGTATACTGCAGAAAATCATCAACTTTGCCCTCTGAAGTTTTTGAATTCTCACAGTTCCTTCACAGTTCTGGGAAGGATCGGTAACTCTAGGCAATTGTGTCTCACTCCTGAATATTCATGTTCACTAGATACATATGTACTAATCCCATACAAATTTAGAGCCATTGGAATCTAATCTGTGTGAGCCAAATGATAGGGATAAATGGGATAGAATAGAATAACAGAGTTGGAAGGGACCTTGGAGGTTTTCTAGTCCAACCCACTGCTCAGGCAGGAAACTCTATACCATTTCAGGAAAAATAGTTGTCCAATTTCTTCTTAAAAACCTCCAGTGCTGGATCACCCACAACTTCTGAAGGCAAGTTGTTCCACTTATTAATTGTTCTAACTGTGATCCACAACTTCTGAAGGCAAGTTGTTCCACTTATTAATTGTTCTAACTGTCAGGAAATTTCTCCTTAGTTCTAGGTTGCTTCTCTCCTTGATTAGTTTCCACCCATTGCTTCTTGTCCAACCCTCAGGTGCTTTGGAGAATAGCTTGGATCATTCCAAATACTTGGTTGTATGGTGAATTGTCAAACAATTTGGCTTTAAACCCTGAATCTAGAATTTTAAAATGAGCTGATATCAAGTCAGATGGAAAGTTACCAAGTATTTTGACATCCAACTCTGCCCTCTCTTCTACCTCAATGCCATTTGCTTCCACTTCCTTAAACTGCTACAGGAATTTGCCCCATTTAATATTTGAGGTCACTGGTAAGGAGCAGTCCAATTGTTATTTCCTTTTTCTCTGCCTCTGGAGAGAAATCCATGGCTCTGCTTTACAATCTTCCACTCATTATTTCTTTCAAGCAAAAGGCTACTCAGGGGAAGCATTCATTAGAAGTCTTCTATGCAAATTCATATATTTTTGTGTAATTAACTCTTTTTCATAAATGTTTTAATTAAGAATTACATGTCTATTTATCAAAATAGTTCATTTTTTAATTTAAAAAGACAACATTAAATGTTTTTTTAAAAAATTAAATGTTTTAAAGAAAACTTAGGAGTAAAATTCAAACTAGTCGACCTAATCATTGGGTCCTTTCATGTCTCATACTTTCTGTTTATAGTTTTAAATGGTAATTTTATTGTACTGTGTTCTTATTTTGTTTACCATTCAAAGTTTCTTCTGATAGATGGGTGGCTATATAAATTGAATGATAGATAGATAGATGGATGGACGGCAATAGCACTTAGATTTATATACCGCTTCACAGTGCTTTTACAGCCCTCTCTAAGCAATTTGCAGAATGAGCATATTGCCCCCAACAATCTGGGTCCTCATTTTACTGACCTTGGAAGGCTGAGTGAACCTTGAGCTGGTGAGAATCGAACTCCTGGCAGTCAGCAGAATTAGCCTACAATACTGCATTCTAATGACTGCACCGCGATAGATGATAGATAGATAGATAGATAGATAGATAGATAGATAGATAGATAGATAGATAGATAGATAACAAGCAACGGATTGACTACAAACTGGGAGACATTTTTGAAAACATGGAGAGTAATCCCTAAAACTGTCAAAATTTGAAGAATATAGCTTTCTGTATAAGTCTGTTTTCTGATGTGTGCGCCTATGTTTCTTATTTCTGCAGCAAACATCATGTACCTGGCAAGCCAAGAAATGAGAAGTGTTGTAGAGCGAGACAATTCTACAATAAAGCAGCATTTAAATAAGGTAGACTTTTATTCTTTACACTTATCATTGGATACTAGGACTGTTCAACACTTCAAATTCCACTCCAAAATGGTGTGTGTGTGTGTGTGTGTGGTTGCAAAGGTAGCATCTACTTGCCAGTTTTTAACCATCCATATCTTTTCCTGGGATTATGTGATGGCTGCAGAGAACAACTTAGTCAAAGTGTAAAAGATACAGTATCTTTAAAAGAGTTGCAAGAGTTTTCTGAATTATTTCCAGCCTTCTTGTTTATCTGTTTTCAAATCCACTCCATTTCACTAAGCTCTAATTCCAGGTTTTAATAACTTAATAATCATTTGCAAGATTCTGTGTACCTCATCTCATCTTGTAATAGTTTAAGGTGCACTATTACAATAATATTTTAGAAAAAAAAATAACAAAATATCCTGATTCAATAGCATCAAAAGAGAGAAACTAGATATTAAGACATTATGTTATTAATTTAACTATTTTATTTATTTTAAAAAATGTATCATTTGTATACCACTTATTAATTTTAAAAATTCCCATGGGTTCTCTACAGTCAAAAATTTACAGGTGAAACTCAAAAATCACGGCTTGAACTATCTTGCTTTGCATGTAATGAGTCTATCTCATATATTAGTTTCACCTTTTAAGTTGCATTACTGGAATAAATGAACTTTTGCACAATATTCTAATTTTTCGAGTTTCACCTGTAATATAAAACATAAATCATATACCTGAAACAATCAAAATAGTTTAAGAGTCATCANAATAAATGAACTTTTGCACAATATTCTAATTTTTCGAGTTTCACCTGTAATATAAAACATAAATCATATACCTGAAACAATCAAAATAGTTTAAGAGTCATCAAGTCAAAACAAACAAGAAAGGAAATTCTGTATTTTATTTGAAGGCATGGCTTCTCTGGATGAGTCCTCCTCTGAAGGTGAATTTGCACTTCTGGCCATGCCATGTGTATTCTCTGAACCAAAGACCAGGGCAAGAGAGGCGTGACTCTCAAATTAGAATCTCATAAGATAGCAGATGTTTTATTGTAGACATCTGATAAACAATGATGTCATGTGCCAGGGTGGATGTCATTCATGTCATAATGCAATTGATGCCAATTATGTAATTCACACTATTTATGTGAAGGCCCTATGGCACATATCATGTCATAGCAACTTCAACCAAATATCCTCCCCTAAATTGGCAGAAAAGACCAGATTCTAGGGAATAGAGGAGATTGATAATTCAAACTCAGGAATTCAGATGTGACTAATGAATTGGTCTAATTGTCAATGAAGCTTCCTCAGTTGTAGAGTTTGACTTACTCCTTTTGAATAGCCTAATGGCTAATAATGGGAGCCTGGATGGAGTTTTATGAGTTCTGGCTTTACAAGCTTTTAGTTTGTAATAGGCAAGGCTGGAAATAATGTTACTATACCTTGTTTTTGACTTATTTGATTCATTCAACCTCTGACACTTGACCTCCACCCTGACCTTGGTTCTTGGTTTTTTGGAAAAATAGACTCTGTTTGATGCCTCAACTTTATTGGACCTCTTTGTATGGACCTTAGTATGGCATCCGGCTCTGTTTTTCTGCTGCCTGTGAATTATTGGGCTTTGCAGTCCTGACTTGCTAACAGTTTGTTTACTCCATGCCTAGCCCAGAAGTATCAGCTGGTATACTATATTATCCATTAATAATATAATTAAGCTGGAGAAGGATGATCCGGCTTCCTCTAGAAGGCTTCATTCATTCAAGTTGTAATTATATGTATTTATTCAATTTGTATTTATACCAAACTTCCAAGTGTCAGCAAGAGATAAACTTTAATGGATATTAACAGGGAGCCAAAGTTTTTAGACTACTTCAGTCCCTATTCCTACTCTCTCAAAAAATTGAGCGTTGGTATTACTTTTCCAGGAATTGTAAAGGCAAGAGAAGTGTCCATACAGCAGAAAGAAATGACTTCTGACATATATGTGGCTAAATACAACTTCCTGTAGTCTCAGCCAATATGGCCAATGGTAGGAAGTGCTGGTCAGTCTTATTCAAGAACTTCTGTATGGCTACATACTCTCCATCCATCATGTTGAGAAAGATTTGTAAAGTCATGAAGCATCAGAGTGTGTACAGCATGACTGCTATTTTGAGACAACCCAAGAACAAAATACAGTACACAGAGGTTTTGTCTTTCAAATAGTGGTTTATATACAGGACTTACATATACATACATGCACATGTCAGGCACATACTAGGCAATCAATCAATCTTGAACTCTACACGGAGAACTACAATGGAGATAGATACACGAGGAGAGAGAGAGAGACGCATATATATAGAAGGGAAAGCAAGGCAGAATTCTTGTTAGTTTAACAATTGCTTTTTTTTTTTAACAAATGTCACATGAGTGACAAATTTGGTGAAATGCTGGATTTCCATCTCAGGTACAAATACAAACATCTCATGGAACATTGGCATTTATATAATTGACTATTTAGTGTCTATGCCACCTTTCTGTGTAAAATCACAAAATGATACTCAGCACCTGAAAACCTTTGTTTACTCAGTTTATTGCAGCCTGACTCTAAAAATAATATAATGGAAACAAGAAATGACATTATCAATTGGAACAAAAGAAAAAAGAATAAGCTGGTAACCTCAGCAGAATCCTATACGTCCCACCAACCCAGAAAATGGGGCACCACCTATCCTAAGGCCCACGGTCTAGGAGAACAACCCTTGTCGTCCTTCAGGCTGGGAGCCACACAGATCTCAGGGACCCTCATTCTTGATGGCAGCCGCTGCAACAGAGAAGGTGCATTTCCTACATACTGATAAATGATAGCAGTAGCAATAGCAATAGCAATAGCAGTAGACTTATATACCGCTTCATAGGCCTTTCAGGCCTCTCTAAGCGGTTTACAGAGAGTCAGCATATTGCCCCCAACAATCTGGGTCCTCATTTTACCCACCTCGGAAGGATGGAAGGCTGAGTCAACCCTGAGCCGGTGGGATTTGAACCGCTGACCTGCTGATCTAGCAGTAGCCTGCAGTGCTGCATTTTAAATGACATTATTTAATCCAAAGAACGCAGAGCATCCCAACCCTATCAGCTCAAATTGGCCAGCCATAGGCAGCCCTATGCTATGCTGTTGACCCCTGAACTGAGCTACATGAATGAATGGCTTGACTCAGTGTGATATAACTTCCTGTGTTCCTATAATAAGCAGCCAATGAAAGAAAAGAGGTGAGGCCATCTACAAGTGCCAAAGTCTTGCATGTGTAAGCAACTAACCGTGTGGGAGGAAATTCATTGGGCCTTGGTCCAAGGTCATTCATAAAGATGAAGTGTTTTGCTACGCAACATTTTAAGTCAAAATACTTTTGGAAGAAACCCATCCTCCTCTTCCTCTTCCTTCTCCAGCTCCTCCTCCCTCTAACTTAACTTTGTTTATTTTTTTCCCAGTCACAGGCTTATTTCATTATATGAGCATAAAGAAAAATTGCCCAGTGAAGCAGCCAAAACCAATTTTGAGTTGCTTTTATTGAAACAGCTTGTCTACTATTGCCTGGGTTTCTTTTTTTAAAAAAATCCAATGTCCAAAGCTGTCCATAGCAGTCTAATAGTTATTGCCCTTGAAAGATTCATAATCTGGAAAGCGGCAGTATGGAAGACACTACAAGAGCAGACTTTCTTCCCCCAGCCAGAGTAAATTATTTCCCTCCAGTTTGGAAAATCCTTCAAATAAGTCTAAAACATCTTCTGCAGCCAGGAACACCTTTCAGTTGGACAGGTTTCAGATGTTTTTTGGACAGTGTTTTGCTGAGGTCCAAAGTAAGAAAATCAGCCTGGGAGGATTTTGCTACATGTAGTACTTAACCATACTTTAGCCCACATAGCAGTGCCAATTTAATCCTTTTGTGACCAAACCTCAATAATAGAATTGAAAAGGAGGGAGCTACTGGGCTCCCGAAGAGCAGAAAGTAAAACAGAATTATAATAAGTGTGGTTTCTTGGGCTATATTTGACCACTTAGACTTTTTTAAATAGCTTACTTCCGCAGGTCTCACAAGAAGGTTCACATTCATATTCCAAATTTGCAAAGTCTTGTAGATCAGCCTTCCCTAAGCCGGTGGCCTCCAGAACTGTTCTGTTTCCGTAATTCATAGCAATTTGGCCATAGGGTCTGGAAAGTTGAGGATACTTGTAGGCCACCAGGTTAGGTAAGGCTTCTGTATCAACTTGCACTCAATGAAATGTGCATACTGTACAGTACTGTTAAATAATGAATATTCTAGTCAAGTTGCAGCATATATTATTAAGCGCAAAGTAAAATAGATTCAGCTCATAATAGAGCATTAATGAACAAAGAAGGGTTTCTTTTAAAGGAAGGTCCCTTATTAAATCACTATTCGAGACATTTCAGCATTTGAGGCCAAGGTATGAAATTTGTAATAGTAAACTGTACTACACTTTAGTTGTACTCTAAATCTGCTGTGTAGAAAGATGGCCTTACCGTACATCTCTCCATTTGGTGGTGGTGAAGGGCAGTGATCAATGAAGACTCTTTTTTTCCTATCATTCTATCTGTCCCTTCGTCTGCCACTGCGTTGCAATCCCACGTAGGATTTTTTTTACAGCAATATCTTTAAAATATCCATGATCGATATAAAACTATAGTAGAAGCTCTGAAAGATATGAAGACCAAGCCAAGTAGTAGAAATAAGGAGAAGTTACATGGACCTTTTTACATTAGCCTCTGCCGTCCTGATGTAGCACAAAATACATTGGACTGCAAATCCTATCATTCCTTCATTAATAGTAATAGGGCACTTGAGTGTGAAGCATTTGGAGATTATTAGCAACACTGCATCCACTGATAATGCATTAAATCCAAAACACAAAATAAGAGCATTAGATTTCTTTATAAACATTACTTTGGGGGGGAGGGGTGTCAAAAAGTGAGGGGGGGAATCCACAAGGAAATGAAAGAAAAGTAATTTATATGTTAATGACTCAAAAATTAGATTATTTGGGGGTTAATGATGAAGATACAGAACAAGATGAGAGAAAGAGAGTTTGTGAGAAACTGAATGAGAAGAGATAGCAAATAAACATACGAAGCGAACATCACTACCAATGTCCCAAAGGTGCTTTTTCAAGAGGCAACTAACATAGGAGAACAAACGCATTGGAATAAGATTCAGTAGTCCATCTGCATTTAAAAGACAAAGGACACTCTTTTGAAGACAGCAAAGTCCACATTTTGGACAAAGAGGACCAGCTGGTTTGAAAGAGGAATCAAAGAGGCCATCTATGTCAAAATTGAACAGTCTTCTCTCAACAGAGAAGGAAAGATATCATCTATCTCCAATCCGCAACACAGTCCTTTCAGTACTTCCAAGAAAGCTCCACCCCCATTTGCACTACTCAGCTAACCCTGAAGAACCAGATAAACCTCCAAGTGGCCTCAACAATTCTTTAAAAGAATGCAAATGACCAGCTAAATCCTTCCATTCCCCAACATCCAGTCAGAGCTGAAGAAGCTTCTTGGATGAAACTCTTCAAAGAAAAAACCAGAAAGTCCAGTTGCCTCTTGAAAAAGCACCTTTGCAACAACTGCAACATGGATGACTGAGCATCTCCATAGATATCACTGCCAATCTTTGAGTTAATAAATAAGCCTAAGGATGAAAAACCTGGACAGGTTGAATGAGAAGGCAATAAGGCCATGTTTGGCTCTCCCAGACTTTTTTAATGGCAAATGTTGCCATAGGCAGAACCTTCCTTTTGTCTGAAATTATGTCTGGATTATAAATAGGCTCATTTGAGCATTTGACTGTTTTGGAAATATATTTGGTCACAAAGTCTGATGCATTTAGCCTGATTCTACTGCTATGAGTTTTTACACCAGAGCTGAAGGCACTGAAAACTCTATGCCCCTCAGACATTTAGAGGCTTTTATTCCGTATTGGACCTTTGGCAACCACACAACAGGCAGAAATATTTTTTAGGGATATTTTTAACACATTTTTGTTAGGACTGGCACTTTCTTGAAGAGGCCATATTTTTAATGGCATAGAATCAGTATAGGAAATAGCTGCTTTCTTAGAAATGCTGAAACATCCTGTTGATAACAATCTCAGCTAACTGCTATCATATTGGGCATATTTGTGAAAAATTAAATACTCACAAAAGTTTGTGAGAGAATATTTGGAAGAGTTTTCTGTTTCATTTTTAAAACACTAATGATAACAATATCAAAAAAAAGTTTACTAAGCTTAAATCTGGATAGTGCTGATGCTGGTGATAATGCTAATTAATATACGTAGTAGAGTGTTGGACTGTGCTGTTATTCTTATGGAAACAGTGTATATTAGAGAGGTGTTTCTGACAGGGTTTTCGACAGAAGTATGTGTAAAATTCACATTTTAATCAGACTCCAGTCCCAATTATTTTGCGCTCTTAGGAACAAAGATATGGAATCTAGGCCCCTTCAAAACGATGCTAGATTTGAATTACTATCAGCTGCAGCCATGACAGATAGTCCTCAACCTATGACCAAAATTTATGTTGCTAAGCGTGACACTTGTTATGTGAATCACTGCAGTTAAGTTAGTAACATGGTTGTTAAGTGAATCTGGTTTCCCCATTGACTTTGCTTGTCAGAAGGTCATAAGAGGTGATCACATGAGCCGGGATACTGCCATCATCATAAATACATGCCAGTTGCCAAGCATCTAAATTTTGATCACCTGATCACGGGGATGCTGCAACAGTTGTAAGTGAAAAATAATCAGGTCATTTTTTCCCCGGTTTCATTGTAACTTACAAGAGTCATTAAATGAATGGTTGTAAGTCAACAACTACCTGTATCTCTCTAATCAGTGCCCAAACAAGACATGTTGTAGGAGGAGGCGGAAGCAGAAGTGTGAAAAGAATAGGGTGTTTCATTGATGATTGGAGAAAACAAACATTAATTAAAGCTGTTTTAATTGTGTTGGAAATCATTTTGGTCCAAATTTGAGCCAGATAGCCAGTGTGGCATGGTGATCAAAGTAGTAAACTAGAATCTTAATTCTAATATATTTTTCACCTTTGAAGGTTGAATAAATGACTCTGGCCCAGTCCTTCTCAGCCCCTCACCTCCTCACAGGTGCATTATGGGGAAGAATCAGGGGTGAAATCCAGCAGGTTCCGACAGATTCTGGAGAACCGGTAGTGGAAATTTTGAGTAGTTCAGAGAACCGGTAAATATCACCTCTGGCTGGCCGCAGAGTGGGGTGGGAATGGAGATTTTGCAGTATCCTCCCTCTGCCATGCCCACCAAGCCACACTCACAGAAGCGTTAGTAAAAAAATTTAAATTTCACCACTGGGAAGAATTAAGAGGATGGATTCATTGTATGCTACCTTGAGCTCCTCAACACTGGGCAGGCTATAAATCAAATTAAAAGGCAGCTTTTATTAGAACTATGGTGGTGGAGGAAAGAGGTCAGCAGGGCAAAAGGAAGCACTCACCTGAATATAAAGCATGAATTTGATATCTCAGCCCAGGAAAGCCAACCAACAACATGAAGTAGAAGCTGATCATTTCGAAGAATTGTCCCAGAAGTTTATAACAATATCTTATGGACTAGTGTTATGATGGGTTGGGAAGAACTGAAGCACAAGCAAGGGGAAATGCAGATATTGTGTTTGGGCTGTATCACTGCAACCCAGAAAGTAGAAGAAACTTGCCTTTTTCTGCAATATATAGAATGGCTCCTGTTGATGATGAAATGTTTTCAAGGTCATGAAATCCACAAGTTTTTAATTACACAGACAGAGATAACTGCAAGCGAAGCACAAGATGTCAGGATGTTTTCCTTGGGCAGTCTGGATCTACCCTTATTTTCTTTGTTCACTTTTCTTCTGGGCTGTGACACCCAGTTCATGTTTTGGAGGAAAGGGTTCACCTTCCTTCCCTGCATGCTGAGATCCCAGTGAAAAATCCTTCCCTATCTGCAGCTGCTATTTATTTAAAAGTTTTTTTTACAAAAATTTTTTTAAAAAACCCTAACAAAATGACGCATTTATTATAATGTCTGATTTGGCCCTAAAAGTAAAAACAAAAGCAACTGGAAAGTGCAATGGCCCATACTAAGTTTGTTTGTTTTGACGATTGTTTGCCACCCAGAGTTAATGGTTTGAGATAGATGGCTATACAAATGGAGTAAGTAAATAAATAAACAGCCCATACTAAGTTGCTTGCTTAGAATCAAATCCCATTGATCCTCAGGTTCCAATTTTTACATCTAAGGCTTTTTGTTTTGCATCCAACTTGAAGAAGCAGGAGGACTAAACTCCCTGGATTTTCCTGGGAGAAGAAACATTTCTGCCTGTAGATTGGTTAGATAAGCAGATGTAAAAAAAAATCCACTCCATTCTCCACCTGTTATGTTGGCTGTGGATAAATATCCTCCCAATCAAGGGCTATTATCCTTAGTATCACATTGGGTTACTAGGCAATGTAATAATTCTTAATATGTTAAGAATTAAATGTTAAATGTTGATTGGTTGAAAAGTGTCTTACAACTTCAGTAATCTCCATTGAAGAAATTCTGACCATTGACATTTATTACCTAGGTATTACTTATATGTACATACATACATACATACATACGTACGTACGTTTGTACGTACATTCTCTCTCTCTCACTCACTCACTCACTCACTCACTCACTCTCTCTCTCTGATTCAGCTCTGGTCTCTTTCTTTTCCCACCGCCATCTTTAATTTAAGACAGTTCTGTATTTCTATTTTAGCTGATTTTTTACTATGGAGCCACTGATAGATGGTGTCCTCTGCAGTACTACGAAGAGATGAAGATGGAGTTTCCAGACGGAAATATTCGAATGTGTGAGAAAGGAATCTGCCATTCTTTTGTATTGGATTCCAGCAAAGAAATGGCTGAAATGGTAACAGGCTGGATACAGGATGATCTCGCCAAGCTATGATGAAGACAGAGTGGATAGCAGGAGAAATTAGCTGTATTGTAATCTTCCTTGATAGATTATGCCTTGATATGTCTGTGCATTATGGTTTGCTTTTTTCTGGAAGCTTTGGTGTTACCCTGATGGCTCGAATTACATTCCCGTTGACAGGTTTCTAACAAATACCCAAGGTAAGGTTGTAAACACATGGGGATGACGGCATCAAACCAGAGCCCTGGATTCCTTTAGGCCAGTGTCAGCCTCCCTCTACAAACAGTGACTACTTGTTCAGGTAACTCAGTATTGTTGTAACAAAAAAAAGAAAGAGAGAAAGAGAGAGATCCCCTGCCCTCCATGTGCCATCTTGATTGTCCAAATTTATGAATTAATGGCCCATTAATTGTGTGTCTAGCTAGAACAGTGCCTCTAGCAGGATTGTATGAATTATTACATTAATTATTACATTAAACACTCAAAGAGCGATTTGGACCTGTTTTCCCCAGAAAAGAAAGCACCAGGAGCCACAAAACCCTCCCCGTGCCTGACTATTTCATGAGTGGGCAGAAAACTAGTCTATGTAGTTGAATTAAATGTTCTGTTTTCTTCTAAAATTTTTCTTTTCTTGGATTTATCCATGGTTGCGCTACCGGGGATCAAAAAGCTCAATTAATCGCGTGCCAGCGGGTATCGCACATTGGCAGTTGTGATGCATATTTTGAGCGACAGGGGGCCGCAGCAGAGGGATGAAAGAGCCACATGTGGCTCCAGAGCCATAGGTTGCTGACCCCTGAATTAAGTGTTTAGATCTTCTGACGTATCAAGTCTGTGCATCAACACTATTCATTCTGCCACAATATTGTAGTAGTATTGCACCCATAATTGTGTCCCATATTGTTGTTGAAGTGGTTAGGGTTAGAATTGACTGTCACTCATCTTTGGAGGAAAATAGCATCTAAATTACGGTGATGATAGTAGAATAGCAAATCACTACAAAATTGTTGTTAGATTAATTTCAACATCCATTGTGACAGAATATTTGGTGTGCAGAAAAAGAAATGTCTTATACACTGAATACAGCATTTTTTGCCACCTGATGCCCCGCCCCATTCACCAAAATGGCTGTGCATAGCCTTATGGAGGCTTTCAGAGAGCTCCTGGGCGCTGGGGAGGGCAGAAAAGAGCAAAAAATGGGCCGTTTTTTTGCTCAATTTTGCCCCCTCAGCCCCCAGGAACACTCTACAAGCCTCCATAAGGCTATGCATGCAATTGTTTTTGACAAAACAGACCTGTTTTAGCAAAAAATGGGCCATTTTTTGCTCATTTTTGCCCCACCCATCCCCAGGAGCACTCTATAAGCCTCCTAAAGGCTATTCATGCCTTTGGGGGGGGAGGGGCCATTTTTGGGAGGTTTGCAGAGTGCAAAAACTTTTTTTTTAATTTGCCTCTTCAAAACCTTGATGCGTCTTATACTCCGAAAAATACAGTTTGTCATGTGAACACATTTTATGACTGTTCTGGCAAAATCTGGGTGTTACAGAAGTCTGTGTTCTCCGCCATAGAAAACAACGGGTTTGATTAACAATCACCGTATTTACTTAGGAACTACCATATTTGATTAACAACTGCCCATTAAAAAGGCCGTAAAATAGTGTTGGGCAGGTTCCATTATGGTCATATGTCAAGGACTGCTGTACATGTTATTTTAGAACAATTTTTAGAACAGACAGAACTTGAATGACATGCTCCTTTTATTACTTTTTTTCCCCTCCAAAAATAGTCACTACTCGGTATGGAGTAATTCCCTCCCTATCTCTTTTTTCCCCCATTTTTTTGTGATTTTTGACAAATTACAAAAACAAAAAGCAAGTATATTAATGCTCGTACTTTGGGAATTTGGGAGAAAAAGAAACCTGGGATTATCTGTGCACCATAAGCTGATACCAAACCACCCTTCTTCTTCTCTACCCAATTGTTTAATGCAGCATCCTGTGTCAAATGCCATGTTCTATGCTTCTCATTGTCTCCCTAGCCTTCACCACTACCTAAGCTAGGGTAGCCCTGTGATTATGAGGGGAGAGAGCCTAATGGAAAATTGTGCACATAGACATGCTGTGCATCTCTTTTTGCTGGAAAAAAAAGGCCAGGGCACAACTGGACTTCGTTCTTGGAAGAAGCTCCATTTCCAACAGCACCACTATCTGCTCCTGGCCAAGATGGGAAAAGAAAGAAGAAGAAAAAAAGAAGATGTTTGTCACTTAGTTCACATTTTTGCAAACTTGGGAATTGTGTTTGGATGATCGGCTTGGCTGGTTCTGTGCTATGCGATCCCTCCTCCCCACTCCCAGGAAAACTCCGAGCTGGTAGCAGACAACAAAGAGAGTGGCCATCTTGGCAGGAAGCCCAGGCATTGCTAAGGTACCTGGAAGGCTGTCCCCATCAGCTGTGTGATAGTGGTGGGCTGGAGGGGGGGGTGTCTTTTAATCATAGGAGAAAGGATTCGCCTGTTGATCGAAGCCATTGCAGGCAGGATGGGCCCAAGGTTTAACCAGCTTCACCCCCTTCTCATCTGGCTTCATCCCCACCCCTGTTGCTGCAGGGAGTAAAAAGAAAAAGGATTACTGGGAGGACCGGCCTATCTAAAACTTTAATCTTAATTTAGCCTGAGGGCCAGCAACAGAAAGAAATTGAAAGTCCCACATTTATTCCTTGCAGGTTTTTCTAAGGGTGGAAGTTAGTTTAATCCAAACCAACCCTGAGGATCTCCCATAGGACAACTAAACTTATCTAGCCCCATTATTGCCTGGGGTTAGCATATCAATATATCGTCCCCCACCTACCCCTCCAGTAGGTATATATAAACAGAGCTACAAGGAATTTGCCCCAGAGCTTCGACAGCATATCATGTTGAACTGTTATAAAACTTCAATAGGTGTATTAAATGTTCTGACCTACATGCATATATATATATATTGCTTGGGCATATATTAATATTACTGGAAATCCAAGTGGCATAAGCATGTCTAGCATTGTATCTAACATTTAAGGAAGGGTTTTTTTATTTTATTTTTTTTTTTTAAGAGAGAATTTACTTTACCCCTCTGTATTGGCCACTTAAAGCACCATCAGCCTTAAGAGGGCAAAGGTAAAAGGGGGATTAAGGAAGGTTTTTGAAGTGTAAAAAACTATTCTGTATGGGTGTTATATTTACATAAACTGTAAATATTACTGTTTGTATACTGTTTTATTTGGTGGTCTCATTAAATCCTGGTGTTTTGTGGATCTTAAAAAAAACATATCCCTACAATATTTTTGTGCGTAAGATGTGGTCACTCAGAGGAACATTTATAATCTGGTAGTAACAAATGTTGCCTGCCAAAAGGAAAACTAAGTTTTTTAAATGTTCAATATTTAATTGAAAACACCCAGCAATGACCATAGGACACATTCATGCAGTGAAGTATGATCCATTTGTCCAGTGACAGCCCATTTTCAGAATATGATACTTATTAATTTTGCTACTCTTTTCATTATATGTTCAACTCAATAGTCCTATCTTGGAACTATTGCAGGATTTCTCAACACAATTTTAATCATAGGGATTCATTGCCTGCTTTTACTTGAAACTTAAAATGTTTGTGCTCATTAGTCGTTTACACATGGGCATATAGAATTGTGATAATTTAAACTAATTTTGTAAACTATAATTGCCTAATTCAAAATACTAGTTTATTTTAAAAATTGTTGTTCATTAATAATACAGCTACCTTCTTCTTGTTTTCTGTGTTTGAACGATTCCTTTGATCTTTGTTTCAGAATGCTGTTATCCCAATGGCAGAAAACTGAAATTGATAAGTGATGAATAAACATTCTTTCTCAGTTTTAATTTTGGATTAAATGGAATAAATTAAACTGAGCCAGAGCAAGTACTAGGGGTGCAGTTTTATAGTCAGTTTCTACCTTTGTTTGTTCAGACGTAAACACAACACTATTAATTGCTATTCATTGCTTTGTAAGTTTCAAAATACGTTTGTATGGAGGAAAGGATTTGATTTGCAGAAAATAAAAAAGATTTGCATTAGGAATACCCAGCAAAAAAAAATGGTTGTATTCCACCTTTATTATTTTAATAATTCAAGGTTGTGAACATATCCAACATACTTCCCTCCTCCTATTTTCCCTACAAAAACAATCCTGCAAGGTGGGTTGGGCTGAGAGCGAAGGACTAGTGTCCAAGATCACCCAGCTGTCTTTCATGGCAAAAGTCATGAAAATGGTGAGAGAGGGGGGAAAAATCATCTTTAACACATATTCTGTTTCCTCTAGATAGCTTCCCTTGTGTTTCATTTGCACATTTCTAGTTCTGAAAGAATTGCTCTCATGTTCCATTTTTTTGCAGATAGAAGTTTTGAAGAAACCAAAACTTGGGACTCTGTAAATGTGGTTGGAGTGAAACAGAGCAACTGTTCAATTAAAGCCTCTGGTACAAATGAGGGCTGGGCAACTCTTTGTTTTTGAATCCCTTAAATTGGAGTTGAAAAGCTACTCCAGAAGCTACTCCCACCTGCTTATAAAACAAATCGGTTGCATGCATACATTCGTCTGTGGGAGGAGTGATTGAATCTTGCAAAAGATATAGTGGCTTTAATGAGTCAAAACTAGTACTATTTTATCCTTTCTGTACGTTCTAGGGATTTGTACAGTCCTGCAAATTGACTTCCTAACCTGTTTGTGACTTTTTGGATAAAACATGGTGAAATAAGGGCAAGAAGACAGTAGGTTCAAGTCCATCATCAGTCACAATGTGCCTTTAGGCCAATCTCTGTCTCTATCTCTCTATCTCCCCACCCTTCCATCTGACAGGTTTGCTGTTGATGTGAGAGCAAATAAAAGAAGGAAGTGTTGGATATTCTGCCTTGAGCTTCTGAAGAAAAGGCAGCATATAAATCAAACTAATAAATAAAACTTTCTTTTACACAATTTCTCTTTCAAATAACTTGAGTGAGGAACTTGCTTTTAAGAATTGAATACAATTGTTGTGTTTGTAGAAAGGCTACCTTGTAGAAACACTGAACATTCTCCACATGAAGAACAAGACTGTCTATATCCAATGAATAGCTGTAAAGATTTCTAAATGTTTCTATCTTATCTATCTATCATCTATATAAACATAAACATTATAAACATTAGGATCATTACATAAATTAGCACACTATTTCCATTTACTATTTCATTCTGGTCATCTCCTTATTCTAATTGGTCCACTGCAAAACACTTTGTTTGAACAACAGAGAAGAATGTGGCTCTTAGTAAAGCTACTTAACACTTTGTGTGGAATGATAAAAACCCACTTGTACCCTGGAGGCTGTCATTTTATTTTCAGGGTCACAGGGTCAAGTTAAGACTTGGGATTACTGTGTGCCCCAAAGCCTCTTTATTGAAATTTAGGCAATGTAAGAACCCACTGAGAGTCTCCTAGTGACCAAGAGTAATTAAAGCAGTACATAACACTGAAAAAGAAAGCTATAGAGTGAGAATATAGAGCGACTGCCAAAAGTGGCTGCTGCTTTAAGCAGTGATCGTGCAGAATTTATGGAGTAGGACAATGACTATATAAAATGAAACCAGGGAGGGAGAACACCGTTGTCCTTGTGTAAAAGAAGGCATAGCCAAGAAGTGTTAGTCATTGACAGGAACTCCTTAACATCACATGATCAAAAGGATAACTGGTGAACATTTTTGTATACTTGCTGTATATTCGGTTATTAGTCATTTTATCACTCATTTGCATTTTCTTCTCAGCTAGAGATATTTTATTCTGTGGATGATGGAGAGGGAGCTGGAGGGCTTTCCATTTTGCATGTTATAAAGAACACTGGTAGGGTTCTGGAGATGCTAATTCGTAGCCCACTGAAGCTGATATAAATATTGAAATGCTGCCCACGTACTGATAAAAGGAGATCAATGATGCTGTCCTCTTTTCATTTAGTTACCCTCTTCCTTGACTTCATTTTAATGAATGAACCTGGTTTCAAGTCTGGTTTCAAGCAAGACCATTAACTGGAAAGAGGACAGAAACAACTGCCATAATAATGTCCTTACAGAT